AGATTAATATTTAAAATATATTATTCCGAGAAAAAGACTACATTTCACTTTCCCTATCTATAACAGACAAACACTAAGTAAAACTTCTACCATAACAACTTCTCTTTTATTATTATTAATTTTTCTCTAATGAACATCTCTATTATTTTACATACTATAGCACAAAAAATACTTATATGACATTATGGAGAATGAACTGTATTATTATATTAGAAAAGCTAATAAACATTATTTCAAATATAAAAAAATAAATTTAACAAAATATTATATTACTTTTTTTTTAATAAATATTATTTTTACCCAAGTCCCTTTAGAAAATACAAAATAAAATTTGATGGGACAGTGTACATTCACTGATCAATTCTCAGATACCACCTGAAATATGCTGACCAACTTATCTATGAATTTTTCAAATTTGACGCACAACAATTGATGAATTATTAAAGGGGAAAAATGATTTCAATTTACTGTGTGAAACTCAATACTGGGATGGTAAAGTATATATTATAATAAAAAATAAATATATGAATAGCTCAAATTTTTACCAGATTGCCGAATTGAATGAATTGTGAATTGATTATTATTAATTAATTAAATATTAAGACCAATAGAACAGCAGATGAATTTTTTAAGCAATATAACAAACAACATATAGAGCTTCAGCAATTAGATTTAAATATTTATATTCAAATAATATTTTCAATAATGACAAATTCCTATTCATTATGGTAATAAAATCTAATATTGTCCCTATTATTCAATACAGTTTGATCAGTAGAGTATAAATAAACACGTCCTGTTGACACACCAACTGATAAATAATTCAAATCCTCATCTGCTCTGATACATGTTATTGGACTATCATGTTCTGGGAATTCATATTTCAAACAAGTGGATGAATTCTCTGACTTATTAATATTCCATAACTTAACAATACCATCTGAACCTCCAGTTAAAATCATATTACTATTAATCCATTGAATTCCATTGATTCCTTCATATATTAGTCCATCATTTGGAGTAATGTGAGAAAGCATTCTAAGTGGCTTATTTTCATATCTTGTATCAAATATCCAAACTTTATTCCCCACCCCTCCCAATGCGATATATTGATCATCTGGTGAAAATGCAATAACATTAGAATCATATTCATTGGTTTGAAACATTTTCTTTTCACTAGATGCTAATTCAATCAAACGTATATTTCCATCACTTCTAACTTGGTCACTAGTTGATGTCACCCCACATGCCACCCGATATCCAGATGCTGACATCCCCAAGCAACTCACACTATTGTTACTTCCTATCTTATAGTCAGTTAACTTTCTTTTTGTTTCTATATCCCATAACCTTATAAAGCCATCTTTTTGTGATTCAACTCCTTCAAAACCAGCAACAATAGTCTGATCAAAATAGTCAACACCATAAACTATGTCAACAATAGGTGGTGCAGTTGTTATTTTTGTTTTCATTTGCAAAATATTTTTATCTAGCTTATAAGAATTACCTTCATCTGCATTCAAACTAAAACATGTGATGCTGCCTGAATTGTCACATGATGCAAATTGATATGTGACCTTAGATTTGTCATGTTTAACAGCAATTCGATTCACAGTATCTTCACATTCTACAGTTGCCAAGGGAGTGCAAATTTGATCTTCTTTACCTATTGATGACCAGATAATGACTTTTTTATCAGTGGAACAGGAATAAATAAATTTTCCCCTCTGAGAAAATTTCACATCTGTGACAGATTTCCATAATTTTTCATTTGTAGTTTCTGTATGATGATCATAATGTCCTTGTAAGTAATATACAGTTCCTTTCCTGGCATCAAATAATTGTAGATTACCTGTCATATTATATTTTGGGTCATGATTTGCTATGTAAGCAATTGCAAGTTTGGGCCCCTCGTGGTTTTTGAACTTTGAAATATGAAATGCCATTTCATTAACATCACCACTACCTTGGTGAAAATCTATACACTGCAAATTTCTAAGTTTATCAATTGGTTCCAATTTTGATGTGTCAATTTCAACTCCCGATTCCATAGCACTATCATCACTGACATCTTTTTTATTGTTACAATTGTTATTATTAATATTGTTAATTTCTACAACTATTGATTCTGGTTCTGGTTCTTTACATTTTTCTTTTAATTTTTTTGAATTTAATGGGAATCCATTTTTAATTCTATAATCAAATTCATTATCATATATTTCAAGTGTATTTTTTATATTCTCCAAAAACTTTTTGACATCATCATCATCAGAGAATGGATATGTTGAATTATTATTATTATTGCTGTTACGACTATTATTATTGTTATCATCTGTATTTAATATATCTGATAGATCATCTAATGAATATTGAAAATATGCTGAACTATTATTGTCCTTGCTATTATTACTGTTGTTATTATTGTTATTATTACTGATGTTATTAAAATTATAGTATGATTGTCCTTCTAATGGGTCTGTAATGAATTGTTCAAATGGGTCATATTTAGTAAAATCTTGACTATCATCATCATCATCATAATCATCATCTTCTTCTCTATTTGTATTTGTTTGAACAAATTCTTGTGTAAACATATTAGTATCATTAAATTCATCAAAGATGTTATTATTATTGTTATTATTATTATTACTGGAACCACTTTTTTCAAAAATAATCCCATTAATCCCATCAGATTCAATATTGTTATTGTTGTTAGATATACTAGTACTACTACTATTAGTAGTAATAGTAACAGCAGTGGTTGTTGTTGTTGTTGTTGTAATTAGATTAGTGGCAGCAGTTGTATTTGCAGCAGCGGCAATTAGATTAGCAGGAGCAGCAATTTTATTTTTAGTAATTGGCAATGATGAACTCAGAACAACTATTTCTTCTTCTTTTTCTATTAATTCTCCGCATAATTCCTCACAGGAATCATTTATAATAAGCGGATTAGATTCGGTGCCTATCATAATAACATCAACAACACTACCATCACATTTATTAACTTCTTGTGGTTTTTCATCATCACTATCCAACACTACAACATAATTGGTTTTTGCTTCTTTCCATGCTTTCTTTTTCTTATTATTGTTATTGCTACTACTATTATTTGATGGTTTATTGCAATAATCATATATTTGTCTTTTAACTGGGACAATTTGATTTTGTTGATTTTGTGATTGTGATGTTGATGCAACTGTGTTTGTATTTATAATTGAATTTGTATTTAAATTTGTATTTGTGTTGAGATCTAAATATGGTAAAACATCAATTGGTTGAGAAAAATAGTTAATGTCGTTGTCAAATGATGCAATAAGTCTACTATTATTATTGGTGATGGTGGTGTCAGTGGTAGTTGTAATTTGTGATGAGGTATTAGTAGTAAAAGGATTATTGTTATTGCTATTGCTAATATTTTTATTTTTTTCTTTGCTACTATGATTATTAAACGGTGAAAATTTAGCAAAGATATCATCAAGTTTGGTGTTATTAAAACCAGAACCATTACTACTACTACTACTATTACTACTACTGCTAGAAGTAGCATTATTATTTCTACTAACTATACTATTATAACTACTGCTGCTGCTGCTGCTACTGCTGCTGCTGCTGCTGCTACTACTACTACTACTACTACTACTATTGAAATTAATATTACTATTTTTAATTTGATCTTGAATTTTTATTGATTCTTTAGCAATTAAACTTTTCTGATTATCAAAAATTCTGGATGTAGATGATGATGATGAAGCATAAGAGGAAGATAACAGATCTTCAAATTTAAAATCTATTATTTCTTGTGGTATAGCATAATCATAACCTAAAATTTTCAAATGCTTAACTAAGTTTTCCATTTTTAAAATATTTTTTGACCATTTATTTTGTAAATCTATCAACTTTTTTGAATTTTTTTTAAGATATGTTTTGGATAATTCAGTGAAATCACAAAGTAAATTAGATATTTTATCTAGCTGATCATAAAGCCTTGTACAAGATGCCATCATTTCTGAATGTCCCATCATATTATCATCATTGTTATTATTGTTAATATCATTATTGCCACTGCTACTTTTGTTATTAGCAATTCCAAAATACTTTCTTCTTACCAGTTCCATATCAATGTCATCCAACATAATGTTGTCACGATTGGTTGATCTTAATAATTTTTGCATTGTGTTTCTATTTAAGTTATGTTTCATTGTTTGTATTTTATTTATTTTTTAGTATAAATTGTCAAATTTATTGGTACCACTAAAAATGTCACAAGATACAAATAGATGATGTGAGAAAATTATTATTAGCTCGGTCAGGACCCGGAAACCTCTAATTGATGTCCCAGTCAATTTTCATGATTTTTATATTAAGTTTACCCAAGGGTTTATATAATTAATTTACCCTGTTAATATTAGTAACATTTTTTTTAACACTATTAAATTTACCCACTTTATATCATGAGCTTTTTAAAAAAATTTATTATTATTAAAAAATTATTAAACTAATTTTTAAAAATATGTTTCAATTGCTTTATAGCATTCTCCCATTATTAAAAATGAATAAAAGGATGATGTATTTTCATCAAGAGAAAGAAAATTATTTTGAAATGAAAATGAAAAATTTTTACCAAAATAATATATAACTTCTTTAGGAGTAATATGTGCATATAATTTACCATCTGCACTACAATCATTAGTAAATAATCTATTTCCATAAACATGAACAAACAAACAAACAGAAATATATGATAATGTATCAATAGTATTGACATTATCTACTAAAGCATGTTTTCCTCCTTTCAATTCATACATTACAATAATTTTGGCAATACATAATTGGTTTCAGTAAAAATAAGTAAATAACCATTTCTATCTAATGGATTGATTTCTGAAATATTTGCACATCCAATATTAAACCTAAATTAACAAGGATTTTTTTGCTTAATAAAAAAATTAAATGAAATAAATTAATAAAATAAAATATCACCTGGCATATTATCATTGGTTCTAAAACATATTTTCAATATTTTTTCTGCCTTGCCACCTAGTCAATCTTCTTCTAACAGTTTGTCCAGAATCATTACTTGTAATTTGTGTGATTAATTGATTTGCAGTATTAGTATTAATATTTTCATGTGCATTATCTAATCTCATTATATTTGAAACTTTGTGCAAATGTTTGAATGTGAATAGGCCTCATGAGATTTTCTTATATTCAAAATTTTGGCTACAATTGAAAAGCCATTAGTAAAAATATCTTCTTCAGGTTCTTTTTCAAGTACAAAATATGTATCAGTTGAAGGTTCATTGTTCAAAATGTATTGAATTTCCATTGAATGAACTAAATTATTTGAGTCATTTACAGATTCATCATTGTTATTGTCAACAGAAAAAATCATTTCAATTTACATAATCTCATTGTTTCCACAGCAGCCTCTTTAATTGTGACACAATATTCATCATTAATATTTGATTCTATTTCATCTTCACTATCATTAATGATTAGGTCTGAAGTGGAGGAAGAAGATATACAATTCATTTTTAATAATTTTGTAAATGATACAGCATTTTCATAAGCTATCCTAACAGCATCATCTATTTCATTATCTGTTGGCCACTGGCATAGTATTTCAATATCATTATTTGATAAAGTTGACCCATCAATATCAAAAATATAGCCTATATATGATATATATGATAAGTATAGCATAAAATTGATTATTAATTTTTAAAAGTAACATAAAGAAATTAAGTTAATATATTACCTTCAGCTGAAGATTTTCACTTGTTTGTGTTAAATTCTCTTGACATAAAATTTTATCATGGTGTGTAATTTTTTGTAAGAAAAATCTGAAATGATTTGCCACTTGTGTGATAGAAACAAACAATTTCAGAATTATTGAAATTAATGCCATTACAAAGATGAAATAAAATAATAATTTTTTAAATATATAGATAAAAAATAAACAAGACTTGGCTATTTAATCATTTCCTTGTATGTGAATGCTTCCATCCATCAAATATTCATGATGATCATGATTATTATTCAATACATTTGATATCATCATTGACATAATAAACAATTGCATCACCCAAGTAGTAATGATAATACCAAGGCCATGCAAAAATGAAACTTTTAATAATGCATGTCTACCCAGATCTCTGGGATTCACAATAATAAATTATTTTTCCTGATTATCAATTATGGTTCCTTATGAATGATAAATCTGATGTTGATTGCAGGTGTCAGATTTAACTGAAATTTCCTATCACCAACAAGCAAACTCCGTGCAAAGCATCAATTCAGCACCATGGAATTTTTTTTCTACAGTTGAAAGTGGTTTGAACAAGTTGGTAGGCTTTGGACAAAACATTCCCTTATCTTCCCCTCAGACCAGGCTTGGCATCACCATATGGGCATTGATCACTGATGAGGACCAGCATTTGTGTGATGATTACATCCCTCTAGAATAAAGTTGATTTAAATAACAAATTCAGTTGATCAAATAAAAATTAAAGAGAAGCAGAGAATTTGGGATTGATTAATTTATAACATACCAAAATCCAAACCATTTTTATAACTTTTTTCTTGTTGCCCACATTGCTGACAAAGATGTATATAATCATGCAATAATTTTAACCTACAGGACAGGGGACTGATTGGACAAAAACCCCTACCCAAAATTATAAATTGGTTAGTATCAGAGAAACAGAGCATTTATGAAAATGATTATACAAAACAACCACTATTTTACAACTTTCCTCTTGACATCAGAGCCCAAATGCAATTTCAGGGCCGCCAACCCTGCTCTGGATTGCGACCTCCTGTGCTTGGAACAAGCTGCAGATTCTCTTAATATTCCTCCAGAGTTGCAACAGCTTGGTCACAGAGCCATCCTTACCTTAGAGGCGGGATCGTTGCAGGCAACTTGTCAGCCTTCTCTGGTCCTGGTGCTGTGAGGGAAGATTAGTGAAAAGTGTCATTGACGTTGGTGCAGTCTCGGTAAACTCCAGGGCCACGTTACCCCCCCCTGGAATTCTGTTGCATCATTGTATCATCGGGGGCATCTTGGTCAGATTAGCCTTTTGTACACGAGGAAGATGAGAGAATGACTGTAAAGTGTTCAAGGCAGCGTGCGTGCTTCAACGCCTGTAAATTTCCGATAATCAAACATTGCATATTCGAAATGTTTCTTTTTCAACGGTGTGTTGCCTTGGCATCTTGTAATTATAATAATATAATAATATTAATATTATTATTAATATTGATTACGATTACGCAAAGCAAAATATTATCAATGAAAATCTTGTAATTACCCAGCAAGATCTGTTCCGCGTTTTGATTCCAATTAAAATATTTATAAGCTAAAATAAAAGACACCTCATACATATCAATACAAATAAAAAATAGTGCCTTTGGTTAGTTATTAACACGTTTTCTTTAGGAGACCCAAACCAAACCAAACCAAACAACAACACTCACGTTTTGTCACCTTGGACTCTGTCAAAAAATAAATAAATTGTTTTTCCAAAAAAAAAAAAAAAAAACCAATTCGCGTCTGTCCTACCAAAAAAAAACCAATAGGATAAATAATTAATGTGTACGCGTCGATCATTCACAAACTTTTTATTTTTTTCTTTTAAAATGCCACCAAAGAAAGAGTCGAAAAAAAGAAGCAGAACGAATAACAAAGCTGATATCGCTGGGTAAGTGTTTTAAGGATGGTGGTGGTTATCGCCCGCCACCCGTCGTCACCCTAGTTTTTTATAAAAATAATGCCTAAAGAATAAACTTTTTTTTTATACTCTGATCTTAGTATTGATTTGATTAGAAGTACTAATAGTAGTAATAGTAATAGTGCTAATGAAGATTTAAGGTTACGAGAATGTTTTTCAGATGATAATGGGAGGACTTCATCTAGATATAGGGATAATCGTTTAAAGTTGAATAAATTAAGCCATTTGGAAGGTGATAATCGGAGAATTAAAGAAAAAAACGTTGAGCAACAACAACAACACCAAAAACAACATGAAAATAAAGAAAATGATATGGTATTTATTTCAATAAAATATTATTTTAGTATTCAATATTGTAAACACTAATTCAACATAAAATAATTTTTATATATAATTATCTTCTGCACAAACAATCATGCTCTTTAGAGTTGGAAGAAGAAGGCGGAGGAGTTGGAGCTGGAGGTGAAGCGACTAAGAAGAAGATTAAAAGGCATTGAAGGTAAAGATCTCGAATGTAAATGTTGGGTTATACATTGAAGGCAGATAAATATTCTAGTTACTATAAAAAATGTCAATCATTCACTGATTCATAGGCGAATCACCAATATAAAAAAATTATTTTTCGTTCATTCCATTTCGTTTATTTATTTATTTATTTGGTATACTTTTTGCAATTTTAACTGATTCTTGCTTTTTATTTTTCCATTATTATATTCCAATATTTATGTTTTATTAGAAGGTAAGAAGCACAAATATGAAGGTAAATTTTATTTAACATGAATTACATGAAATCTTCTTTATACTCTTATTCATTTTTTCACCATTCATAGAACTCATTATTAGAAAAATCCGAAGATATAATGCTTAAAACTCAAAAAAATACCACTGAAAGGATTAAAAATATGTGTCCTCCATCATCAGGAGCTCTTCCAGCTAATTTTCCTGGAATACAAAAAGAAGCACTCATATATTGTCATCGCCCTCCTAAATATTTTGATTTGCCAACAACTTTTTTCCATCCAACTTTTAACAAATTCCTTAATCACTATAATGATAAAACTCTCAATATACCTAAAAAAATCTGTGAGGGTGTGTTCTACTTTGTAGAAGAAATGGCTGAAATTTTTTCACATGAAAAACCTCGTAAAAAAATATTACATGATTTCCTAAGAGACTGCCTTGATTTAAATCCTTTGGAGTTGATCCTTGATGATGATTCAAGCAATGACGGTGTTGTATTGTTGGTAGAAAAATATTTGGGTATTGTAATTGAAGTAAAGGCAGAAATAGGCAGTGGAAAATGTGATCCTTACTTACAAGGAAGTTTAGAATATAGTAAATTTTGGGCACAGGATCAAGTAAGTGCATAAATTTATTTAATGCAATTGAAAAATAATCACAAGTACATGTTTGAATTCACATTTGTAATTTGGTGATATTTTATAGTTTAAAGATTTCAAAGAAAATTGTAATTGTCCATCATTTATTATATGTTTAGCTGGTCCATGGATATGTATAGCTTCAGCCATTTTTTTAGATCGGATAATTATAGATCCATTGACTGATTTTATTCCATTACAACCAGCATTTGATAATTATGGTCTTGATCGAATTTCTAGGTTATTTTTTGCATTGAAATCTGCAATTATTGATTTAAAGGAATTCTATAGAAAGATAGAGGCACAGAAAGTTTTTCATGGACACCAGAATTTTTTTCCATATGTAAATACATTTGTTCAAGATGGAAGGGAGGTAAAATTTATTTACACAGAACACATTTCTAGAGGTGTATACAAGGCAAAGATTTCTAAAAATGGTCTAGTTGTTATTGTTAAATTTTCTAGAAGGTACAATGCTGATGCTCACAAATTGTGTGCTGCTATGGGATTTGCACCAAAATTGTTACATGTTGATACAGAAAAGATGCAAGAATGGATAATTATAATAATGGAGTATGCTCATAATGCAAAACAATTGCAAGATAGTCATCTTGATTTGGAACAAAAAAAGCTTATATTAAAGGAAATCAGGGCTGCAATTGACCTTCTCCATGAAAACAATATTGTGTTTGGTGATTTCTGTTCAAATAATATTTTAATATATGAAAAGGTGCAACAAGTACATGCTCTATTAATAGATTTTGATTGGTCTGGAGTTTCAGACAAAGACAGATATCCATTTTTCATGAATTATGATATAACTTGGCCAACTGGTGCTGGAGATGGAGAAATTTTAAGAAAAAGTCATGATGAAGAATGGTATAAACAATTAGAAAAATTATTAGAAAAGTGAGTTTCCTTGTTTTTTAAAAATATCAGGCTATCTTTTCTTAGGGTTAATTAATAATTAGTGGGAAATGGCATATATTTTATTAATTTTCTTTTGCATATCAGCAAAACATTTAAAGTAAATTGTTTTTTGCTTTCAAAATAATCTTGTTTTATCTTTTTAAACCCCTAATCAAATTTATTATTGTGAAAAAGAATTATTTTTAATTTGATATCTATATATATCCACTGATTCATCATTGAAATTAAAAATAAATTTCTAATATTAGTAGGAATAATAGTACTTCTGGACAATAATTATTCCAGCCACTCTGATCCTCTTTGCCTATATAGTTATTTATTTCTTATATGTCATATTTAGCAGAATATAAGTAATCATAGTCTGTTTAATGTAAAATAACTCATGTTTTTTTTAAATTGGTGGGTCATAATACTCCTGATGGTTACTCTGGTATAGTTTTTATTTGTAAGGATTGTAAAAAGATTATGATAATAATACTCTTCCATGATGTGAGAAATGTGGTAGGTTAAAAAGGAATAGAAACAGATGTTTTTGTAGTCATTTAAAAGCTAAATCAACTAAACCACTTTCTGACAAAGAACTACTTTCACAAGCCTTCAGTTTTCGCCTAGAAAATAAAACTAGAGAACTAGAAAGAGAGTTATCAATTACCAAAGAAGAATTAAAAATTGAAAGAGAGGAAATAACCAAGTTTCAGGAAAAATCTGAAGAGTGAAGTAAAAAACAGAAACAAGAGTTATTGGATAAGATAAAGGGTTTAGAAGAAAAGATTAAGCAACTAGAAGAGGAGAACAGGAAATTAAAAGAGCAACAGAATGGTCAATTAACTGCTCAAATTGAAGTTAAAGAGACTAAAAGATGATCTTGATTGAAAATAAGAAAGTAATTGAAGAAATACTTTCCTCTTATAAATTGCAACTATCAAAGAAAGTGATATTTATTTTCCTTTTAAAGATTTTTGCTTCTTATTAGGTAATAATGCATCATCATAATGTTTTCTTTTTCCAACATTTATTATTTTTCTTTCTTCTTGGTAAATTTCATAAGTAATCCTTTCTTTGTCTAAATATGTTTGCAAAGATTTGGTATCTGCTAATTTAAAAATGTAAGGAGCAATTTTTTCACCTTGTTCCTTTTTCAAAATACTTCTAATGGTGCTATAATTCTTGGGTTCCATGGTAGATCGGATGTAAATGAGTTTCATATTAACTATTTTTATATAGAGGTAATTCTATATATCACTGAAGATAACAAATGGGATATTATAAAACTGATAATTATAATCACAAATGACTAAATTTTGAACCCTGAAATCTTGGTAACACCAATGTTCACTTTGTCTGGTTTTGTTGCAGTATACCCCAATTACCTTATAAATCAGTCCCTTATAATTAAAAGCAAAATTTTTCTAACACAACCTTCCAAGTAGTTATAAGCGACTTTGTAGGGAACACTTTGGCACAACTGTTGCTGCTGAATTTGCTTTAGTCTGCATACTGGTTGAGCGATAATCTTAAAATAAGTGTGAAGAAAAGAAACGCTTTCGACCTGGCGTAGAACAACCAATATTTAAGCTAGTCTTTTCTTTTAACTGTTGTTAAAAGCCCCAGTCTGGCTCTAAAAAATTTATTATGGTTGAAAGTCGCTTGTTACATGAAAAACGGAGATTTTTTTTTTTGAAGTGGACGACAATAATTTTATTCGTGTAACGTTTATATTGAATGACACTTGATCTGCAATGTCCCGCGACTACTATTTTTTTACACTGCGAATACCTCGTTATAACGGATAATTGGGGTCAAACCAATATGATCGTTATAACGAGGTTTGACTGTAAAGATTAATATTTAAAATATATTATTCCGAGAAAAAGACTACATTTCACTTTCCCTATCTATAACAGACAAACACTAAGTAAAACTTCTACCATAACAACTTCTCTTTTATTATTATTAATTTTTCTCTAATGAACATCTCTATTATTTTACATACTATAGCACAAAAAATACTTATATGACATTATGGAGAATGAACTGTATTATTATATTAGAAAAGCTAATAAACATTATTTCAAATATAAAAAAATAAATTTAACAAAATATTATATTACTTTTTTTTTAATAAATATTATTTTTACCCAAGTCCCTTTAGAAAATACAAAATAAAATTTGATGGGACAGTGTACATTCACTGATCAATTCTCAGATACCACCTGAAATATGCTGACCAACTTATCTATGAATTTTTCAAATTTGACGCACAACAATTGATGAATTATTAAAGGGGAAAAATGATTTCAATTTACTGTGTGAAACTCAATACTGGGATGGTAAAGTATATATTATAATAAAAAATAAATATATGAATAGCTCAAATTTTTACCAGATTGCCGAATTGAATGAATTGTGAATTGATTATTATTAATTAATTAAATATTAAGACCAATAGAACAGCAGATGAATTTTTTAAGCAATATAACAAACAACATATAGAGCTTCAGCAATTAGATTTAAATATTTATATTCAAATAATATTTTCAATAATGACAAATTCCTATTCATTATGGTAATAAAATCTAATATTGTCCCTATTATTCAATACAGTTTGATCAGTAGAGTATAAATAAACACGTCCTGTTGACACACCAACTGATAAATAATTCAAATCCTCATCTGCTCTGATACATGTTATTGGACTATCATGTTCTGGGAATTCATATTTCAAACAAGTGGATGAATTCTCTGACTTATTAATATTCCATAACTTAACAATACCATCTGAACCTCCAGTTAAAATCATATTACTATTAATCCATTGAATTCCATTGATTCCTTCATATATTAGTCCATCATTTGGAGTAATGTGAGAAAGCATTCTAAGTGGCTTATTTTCATATCTTGTATCAAATATCCAAACTTTATTCCCCACCCCTCCCAATGCGATATATTGATCATCTGGTGAAAATGCAATAACATTAGAATCATATTCATTGGTTTGAAACATTTTCTTTTCACTAGATGCTAATTCAATCAAACGTATATTTCCATCACTTCTAACTTGGTCACTAGTTGATGTCACCCCACATGCCACCCGATATCCAGATGCTGACATCCCCAAGCAACTCACACTATTGTTACTTCCTATCTTATAGTCAGTTAACTTTCTTTTTGTTTCTATATCCCATAACCTTATAAAGCCATCTTTTTGTGATTCAACTCCTTCAAAACCAGCAACAATAGTCTGATCAAAATAGTCAACACCATAAACTATGTCAACAATAGGTGGTGCAGTTGTTATTTTTGTTTTCATTTGCAAAATATTTTTATCTAGCTTATAAGAATTACCTTCATCTGCATTCAAACTAAAACATGTGATGCTGCCTGAATTGTCACATGATGCAAATTGATATGTGACCTTAGATTTGTCATGTTTAACAGCAATTCGATTCACAGTATCTTCACATTCTACAGTTGCCAAGGGAGTGCAAATTTGATCTTCTTTACCTATTGATGACCAGATAATGACTTTTTTATCAGTGGAACAGGAATAAATAAATTTTCCCCTCTGAGAAAATTTCACATCTGTGACAGATTTCCATAATTTTTCATTTGTAGTTTCTGTATGATGATCATAATGTCCTTGTAAGTAATATACAGTTCCTTTCCTGGCATCAAATAATTGTAGATTACCTGTCATATTATATTTTGGGTCATGATTTGCTATGTAAGCAATTGCAAGTTTGGGCCCCTCGTGGTTTTTGAACTTTGAAATATGAAATGCCATTTCATTAACATCACCACTACCTTGGTGAAAATCTATACACTGCAAATTTCTAAGTTTATCAATTGGTTCCAATTTTGATGTGTCAATTTCAACTCCCGATTCCATAGCACTATCATCACTGACATCTTTTTTATTGTTACAATTGTTATTATTAATATTGTTAATTTCTACAACTATTGATTCTGGTTCTGGTTCTTTACATTTTTCTTTTAATTTTTTTGAATTTAATGGGAATCCATTTTTAATTCTATAATCAAATTCATTATCATATATTTCAAGTGTATTTTTTATATTCTCCAAAAACTTTTTGACATCATCATCATCAGAGAATGGATATGTTGAATTATTATTATTATTGCTGTTACGACTATTATTATTGTTATCATCTGTATTTAATATATCTGATAGATCATCTAATGAATATTGAAAATATGCTGAACTATTATTGTCCTTGCTATTATTACTGTTGTTATTATTGTTATTATTACTGATGTTATTAAAATTATAGTATGATTGTCCTTCTAATGGGTCTGTAATGAATTGTTCAAATGGGTCATATTTAGTAAAATCTTGACTATCATCATCATCATCATAATCATCATCTTCTTCTCTATTTGTATTTGTTTGAACAAATTCTTGTGTAAACATATTAGTATCATTAAATTCATCAAAGATGTTATTATTATTGTTATTATTATTATTACTGGAACCACTTTTTTCAAAAATAATCCCATTAATCCCATCAGATTCAATATTGTTATTGTTGTTAGATATACTAGTACTACTACTATTAGTAGTAATAGTAACAGCAGTGGTTGTTGTTGTTGTTGTTGTAATTAGATTAGTGGCAGCAGTTGTATTTGCAGCAGCGGCAATTAGATTAGCAGGAGCAGCAATTTTATTTTTAGTAATTGGCAATGATGAACTCAGAACAACTATTTCTTCTTCTTTTTCTATTAATTCTCCGCATAATTCCTCACAGGAATCATTTATAATAAGCGGATTAGATTCGGTGCCTATCATAATAACATCAACAACACTACCATCACATTTATTAACTTCTTGTGGTTTTTCATCATCACTATCCAACACTACAACATAATTGGTTTTTGCTTCTTTCCATGCTTTCTTTTTCTTATTATTGTTATTGCTACTACTATTATTTGATGGTTTATTGCAATAATCATATATTTGTCTTTTAACTGGGACAATTTGATTTTGTTGATTTTGTGATTGTGATGTTGATGCAACTGTGTTTGTATTTATAATTGAATTTGTATTTAAATTTGTATTTGTGTTGAGATCTAAATATGGTAAAACATCAATTGGTTGAGAAAAATAGTTAATGTCGTTGTCAAATGATGCAATAAGTCTACTATTATTATTGGTGATGGTGGTGTCAGTGGTAGTTGTAATTTGTGATGAGGTATTAGTAGTAAAAGGATTATTGTTATTGCTATTGCTAATATTTTTATTTTTTTCTTTGCTACTATGATTATTAAACGGTGAAAATTTAGCAAAGATATCATCAAGTTTGGTGTTATTAAAACCAGAACCATTACTACTACTACTACTATTACTACTACTGCTAGAAGTAGCATTATTATTTCTACTAACTATACTATTATAACTACTGCTGCTGCTGCTGCTACTGCTGCTGCTGCTGCTGCTACTACTACTACTACTACTACTACTATTGAAATTAATATTACTATTTTTAATTTGATCTTGAATTTTTATTGATTCTTTAGCAATTAAACTTTTCTGATTATCAAAAATTCTGGATGTAGATGATGATGATGAAGCATAAGAGGAAGATAACAGATCTTCAAATTTAAAATCTATTATTTCTTGTGGTATAGCATAATCATAACCTAAAATTTTCAAATGCTTAACTAAGTTTTCCATTTTTAAAATATTTTTTGACCATTTATTTTGTAAATCTATCAACTTTTTTGAATTTTTTTTAAGATATGTTTTGGATAATTCAGTGAAATCACAAAGTAAATTAGATATTTTATCTAGCTGATCATAAAGCCTTGTACAAGATGCCATCATTTCTGAATGTCCCATCATATTATCATCATTGTTATTATTGTTAATATCATTATTGCCACTGCTACTTTTGTTATTAGCAATTCCAAAATACTTTCTTCTTACCAGTTCCATATCAATGTCATCCAACATAATGTTGTCACGATTGGTTGATCTTAATAATTTTTGCATTGTGTTTCTATTTAAGTTATGTTTCATTGTTTGTATTTTATTTATTTTTTAGTATAAATTGTCAAATTTATTGGTACCACTAAAAATGTCACAAGATACAAATAGATGATGTGAGAAAATTATTATTAGCTCGGTCAGGACCCGGAAACCTCTAATTGATGTCCCAGTCAATTTTCATGATTTTTATATTAAGTTTACCCAAGGGTTTATATAATTAATTTACCCTGTTAATATTAGTAACATTTTTTTTAACACTATTAAATTTACCCACTTTATATCATGAGCTTTTTAAAAAAATTTATTATTATTAAAAAATTATTAAACTAATTTTTAAAAATATGTTTCAATTGCTTTATAGCATTCTCCCATTATTAAAAATGAATAAAAGGATGATGTATTTTCATCAAGAGAAAGAAAATTATTTTGAAATGAAAATGAAAAATTTTTACCAAAATAATATATAACTTCTTTAGGAGTAATATGTGCATATAATTTACCACCTGCACTACAATCATTAAGTAAATAACCTATTTCCATAAAGATGGACAAACAAACAAACAGAAATATATGATAATGTATCAATAGTATTGACATTATCTACTAAAGCATGTTTTCCTCCTTTCAATTCATACATTACAATAATTTTGGCAATACATAATTGGTTTCAGTAAAAATAAGTAAATAACCATTTCTATCTAATGGATTGATTTCTGAAATATTTGCACATCCAATATTAAACCTAAATTAACAAGGATTTTTTTGCTTAATAAAAAAATTAAATGAAATAAATTAATAAAATAAAATATCACCTGGCATATTATCATTGGTTCTAAAACATATTTTCAATATTTTTTCTGCCTTGCCACCTAGTCAATCTTCTTCTAACAGTTTGTCCAGAATCATTACTTGTAATTTGTGTGATTAATTGATTTGCAGTATTAGTATTAATATTTTCATGTGCATTATCTAATCTCATTATATTTGAAACTTTGTGCAAATGTTTGAATGTGAATAGGCCTCATGAGATTTTCTTATATTCAAAATTTTGGCTACAATTGAAAAGCCATTAGTAAAAATATCTTCTTCAGGTTCTTTTTCAAGTACAAAATATGTATCAGTTGAAGGTTCATTGTTCAAAATGTATTGAATTTCCATTGAATGAACTAAATTATTTGAGTCATTTACAGATTCATCATTGTTATTGTCAACAGAAAAAATCATTTCAATTTACATAATCTCATTGTTTCCACAGCAGCCTCTTTAATTGTGACACAATATTCATCATTAATATTTGATTCTATTTCATCTTCACTATCATTAATGATTAGGTCTGAAGTGGAGGAAGAAGATATACAATTCATTTTTAATAATTTTGTAAATGATACAGCATTTTCATAAGCTATCCTAACAGCATCATCTATTTCATTATCTGTTGGCCACTGGCATAGTATTTCAATATCATTATTTGATAAAGTTGACCCATCAATATCAAAAATATAGCCTATATATGATATATATGATAAGTATAGCATAAAATTGATTATTAATTTTTAAAAGTAACATAAAGAAATTAAGTTAATATATTACCTTCAGCTGAAGATTTTCACTTGTTTGTGTTAAATTCTCTTGACATAAAATTTTATCATGGTGTGTAATTTTTTGTAAGAAAAATCTGAAATGATTTGCCATGCAAGACCAAACAAGTGTTCTATTGATTCAGTACCATGCTCCCAAAGTAAAAAAGGATAATTTGAATAATAATTACGATATGCTAACACCAACAAAACCATAGATTCTGCTAAACTGCCAAAAATTTTCCAACTATGTATAGAAATACATGATTTATTAAATGAGTACCATTTTTGTGAATAAATATTGGCACAATTATTTAGATATTCTTTCCACACATTCAAAAAAAAATAAGCTCTCATGACCATGATAATTCTTGTTTTGTGACATATTGTCCTATTTAAATAGCCATCAAAAAGTTCACCTATTTTAAATAAAAACAAAAAATTGTTAAAAATTTTTAATAAATTATTAAAAAAAAAAAAAAAAATTGCCAAAAACAAACAAATAAACAAAAAAGTGCCAATAGATCATCTTTTATAATTCCCTCACTTTGACATTGTTTTAGAAAATCTGAATGGAAAATCTATATGTTGCACCATCATCCTGTTTATCTGTATTGATTACATCTCTTAAATATAACACAGAGTTTTCTTCATGTGCTAATGTTAGTATTTGATCATACCTAACAGTATCATTTCCCATTTTTAATAAATGGGATCCAGAATATACATTATTTCTGCATTTTTTTTTGCGTGTTTAGTATCTTGAACACGAATTATAGGTTTGTTATTAAAAATTGGTGCTTTGAAATTAATATTATATTGCTCATTATTATATGAAAGAAATTCATTAGTTCCAAAACCCTTGACCAATTCAATTTGTGCATTATACTCAGGTAAAGCACCATCCATGCCAATACTAATCAAATTAATATTTGCTTGTAATGACATTTTAATTACTTCTTTAAAATAATTTACAATTTTTTTGTAGAATCACTTTTAGTTGTAATTAGAGCTATTACAACTGGAGGTATTCTCCCAACTGGAATCTGAAAATATTTATAATTATAAAATATAATATGGGGCATGCTGCAACAAAACCAGACAAAGTGAACATTGGTATTACCAAGAATTTCAGGGATCATTTGTAATGTGATTATAATTATCAGTTTTATAATATCCCATTTGTTATCTTAAGGGTAGAGACCTCCCCAGTGTTGGCATTTTTATATGTCCAATTAATTTCCAATTGGATTTGTCTTGTCCAATTGTCCAATATGCCAATGTCCAAATATTTGAGAGACATTCGAAAATTCTAAATTCCTAAAAAATTATTATATTTATTTATAATGTTTATTTGCCATTAAAACAATGGGAAACAAACCACATTCTTTAACACCACACATTTATATTCTTAATGAAAAAGCCAATAACTTCAACAGATATGTACTTTGTTTGTATTGTAGAAATGCCTTGGGTCATGAAGTTGCATATCAGGATAAATTATTGAATAAAAAAGATAGAATTAAGTCACATTTAAAAAAATGTGAAAATTTCAAAGTGGCAGTAGGAGAGCCAAACATTGATCAAATTTTAGAAGAAATACTCCCAAATTCTCAAAAAAGGGCACATACAATTGAACCAAGTATTATTAATTTATTATAATGAACTCATTTGGTAATTTAAGAAATTAATTAATATTTTTTGTTTTTTTTATTTGTTTTTATCTCAGGTAATGACAATATTTCATTGATGAGAGTGTTGGCCAGTGTTCGAAATTCGATTGCGCCTTAACATAAATGTGCTAATGTTAGTATTTGATCATACCTAACAGTATCATTTCCCATTTTTAATAAATGGGATCCAGAATATACATTATTTCTGCATTTTTTTTTGCGTGTTTAGTATCTTGAACACGAATTATAGGTTTGTTATTAAAAATTGGTGCTTTGAAATTAATATTATATTGCTCATTATTATATGAAAGAAATTCATTAGTTCCAAAACCCTTGACCAATTCAATTTGTGCATTATACTCAGGTAAAGCACCATCCATGCCAATACTAATCAAATTAATATTTGCTTGTAATGACATTTTAATTACTTCTTTAAATTAGAGCTATTACAACTGGAGGTATTCTCCCAACTGGAATCTGAAAATATTTATAATTATAAAATATAATATGGGGCATGCTGCAACAAAACCAGACAAAGTGAACATTGGTATTACCAAGAATTTCAGGGATCATTTGTAATGTGATTATAATTATCAGTTTTATAATATCCCATTTGTTATCTTAAGGGTAGAGACCTCCCCAGTGTTGGCATTTTTATATGTCCAATTAATTTCCAATTGGATTTGTCTTGTCCAATTGTCCAATATGCCAATGTCCAAATATTTGAGAGACATTCGAAAATTCTAAATTCCTAAAAAATTATTATATTTATTTATAATGTTT